CAAGAACGGTTTGTTGCTGCTTCTGAAAATAGTGTTGATAAGAGCAGTAAGATGGAAACACACAGCAAATACAGGTTGTAAAACCAAAACCATGAGCTAAAACAGTGGTTCCTCAACTTTCTCTATCACTTCCCCCTTTTGGCATTTATCTTATTGTTCCCAAACAAAACTACAGCCATTTTTAGCATAAGGCATTTTGACAGTAATATTAAGAGGGCTCTGCTGCAGCAATTAACGCAATACAGTCCAGCTGTTACTGGTCCTGTGTTAGGGGGCTTTCACAGCTTCCTTGTCTGGTCCGGACTTTTCAGTTTGATCCAAACCAAAATTACAGGTGTGAAACCTCCCCCGGACCACGGTCCGGACCAAACAGACGAAATTTGATCCAACAAAAAGAGGTCGTCTCAGTCCGGATCAAACTGAACCATGGTTCGGTTCATTTCTAGTGTGAAAGCATTTTTTGGATGGTTCCGACTTTCAGACTATTTACAGGAAGTTCGGTGGTTCCTGTGTAAACCAGAAACAAACCAATGCACTGAGAGATGCATTGAAAAAAGGACACAATTATGGTCTCTCCTCAAACAGAGGTGCACAAGGATTGCTTTCAGTCTTCTCCCCCCTTTCCTGCCGGTGTTACGAAACACCACACAAGATATAAACCTAATGTTCGCACAACGAGGACGTTTATTTGGCGCATTTGAACTAGCCTGTCTCAAAGCGTCACTAATTGACGCACTGAGATGAGAATGTGTTGCGAGTTAAATTGGTGCCTCAGGTGGTAGGCTAATGCCGTAATAATAACAATATAGTGGCAACACATCTGTACATTCCTCATTCATTCATTCTGGTCAAAGCTCCCACGATCTATGTCAAATAGGTATAGGGAGACGCAGTCAGGTTACAATCTATGTTTTCCCCGACCCCTGAATTTTACAATTATTTAAAGATTCAGTGTGTTCTCACTTAATGTTCACCCCTCCCTTTCCAAGCACACAGCAGAAGCTATGGTGGCCGACACACTCTGCTTGTGCTAAATAAATTGTGTTGGTCTCTTTTTGTCCAAATTTCACTTCTCTTCTTACTTCTAATAAACCAGACTACTTCTTCTTGGTAGTGACGAAACGCACTCTGTAGAGCAGTCTGTCCATGGGCTCCTGTAGAAACATGGCGACGCAACATGGTGACTTCCATGTAAAGAGATCTATGTAGATAGAAATGGCTCATTTTAAGGTAATAAAAACACAAAGGTTCTTTATGTAAGGTCTGTATATAATACTGAAAACATAGTTATGTACATTATATTACATTTTCAGCAGATCATCCTAAATGTTACACACTGGTCCTTTTTAAAACATTATGTAATATAATGAATTTCATGAGGTTTCTCTGCTAAAAACCTTTAAACCATGAAAACCCCTATAAAACCAAAGGAAATTAGAATCTATTCATTTCCTCAAATTTCCCATAAAAAACCATATACTTTTATTAAATCATCAATGGGAGAAAATGATGGTATTTTCAGGTTTTTTAAAAATAAGGTTTTCCGTCTTAAAACTCCTTTCATTTGTTCAGTCCACATTCATGCCTGGAGTCTGGTCCAGAGCAGCCTAATAAGGATTGTAATAGACTACATGATTTGAATGAGACTGTCCAGCTTCCAGTTTTAAAACCCACAGACCACAGTCAGAAACACAACGTTATTATACCTGATCTTCCTAATCCCACAGCCCTGGAAAACAGATGTATAGCTAATTTGGGCTCTCACTTCAATGAACGCTTTGAAATAGCTGCTCTAAGTCCCTTCTGTCTTGTGCGGTGTTGATAGCTGTGAGCAACAGCCTGCTCAGATCCTGTCAGGTGGGATCTCTCTGTAAATGCCTTGCAGTTGGCTTACCAACAGAGGAGCAGACATCAGGTTTAGCCATCAGTGGCTGAAGGCAGACTTTAAAAACTGTCTGCCCCCCTCTGGTAGTGAATTGCAAAGAATGAGACTGCAGGAATCATCATTGTGATATGAATATATAGTACAGGGATGGAGACTGAGAGAGGAAAGTGGAGACTATATAGTAAACTGTCTATTGTGGAGGAGGAAACAGAAAAAATAGAAGTACTCAATGCAATACTTCCTTATATGTTATATCATTAAATATACATTCATTATATAGTTTTTATAAAAAAAGGGATTCAAATGATTCAAAATCAATCAATCAAAATTGTTCATTAATCACGCATACATAATAGTAATTAATATCAATCAGCTAATTGATTAATTGACTAATTGTTTCAGCTGTAATTAAAGCTGTCAAAGAATTGTTCAGTAAAAAGTGCAATATTTCCTTCTGAATTATAGTGGAGTAGAAGTAGAAAGTGGCACGAAAAGATAAGACTGTAGCAAAGTACGTGTACATGTCCACCACTGGTAACAGAGGATCCATCCATTCTACAGGTGCTGGTCATATAATTAGAATATCATCAAAAAGTTGATTTATTTCAGTAATTCCATTCAAAAAGTGAAACTTGTATAATGTATACATTCATTCTACACAGACTGATATATTTCGAGTGTTCATTCCTTTTAATTTTGATGATTATAACTGACAACTAATGAAAACCCCAAAATCAGTATCTCAGAAAATTAGAATATTGTGAAAAGGTTCAATATTGAAGACACCTGGTGCCACTCTAATCAGCTAATTAACTCAAAAAGGCCTTTAAATGGTCTCTCAGTCTAGTTCTGTAGGCTATACAATCATGGGGAAGACTGCTGACTTGACAGCTGTCCAAAAGACGACCATTGACACCTTGCACAAGGAAGAGACACAAAAGGTCATTGCTAAAGAGGCTGGCTGTTCACAGAGCTCTGTGTCCAAGCATATTAATAGAGAGGCGAAGGGAAAGAAAAGATGTGGTAGAAAAAAAGTGTACAAGCAATAGGGATAACCGCACCCTGGAGAGGATTGTGAAACAAAACCAATTCAAAAATGTGGGGGAGATTCACAAAGAGTGGACTGCAGCTGGAGTCAGTGCTTCAAAAACCACCACGCACAGACGTATGCAAGACATGGGTTTCAGCTGTCGCATTCCTTGTGTCAAGCCACTCTTGAACAAGACACAGCGTCAGAAGCGTCTCGCCTGGGCTAAAGACAAAAAGGACTGGACTGCTGCTGAGTGGTCCAAAGTTATGTTCTCTGATGAAAGTAAATTTTGCATTTCCTTTGGAAATCAAGGTCTGGAGGAAGAGAGGAGAGGCACAGAATCCACGTTGCTTGAAGTCCAGTGTAAATCTTTCCACAGTCAGTGATGGTTTGGGGCGCCATGTCATCTGCTGGTGTTGGTCCACTGTGTTTTCTGAGGTCCAAGGTCAACGTAGCCGTCTACCAGGAAGTTTTAGAGCACTTCATGCTTCCTGCTGCTGACCAAGTTTATGGAGATACAGATTTCATTTTCCAACAGGACTTGGCACCTGCACACAGTGCCAAAGCTACCAGTACCTGGTTTAAGGACCATGGTATCCCTGTTCTTAATTGGCCAGTAAACTCGACTGACCGTAACCCTATAGAAAATCTATGGGGTGTTGTGAAGAGGAAGATGCGATACGCCAGACCCAACAATGCAGAAGAGCTGAAGGCCACTATCAGAGCAACCTGGGCTCTCATAACACCTGAGCAGTGCCACAGGCTGATCGACTCCATGCCACGCCACATTGCTGCAGTAATTCAGGCAAAAGGAGCCCCAACTAAGTATTGAGTGCTGTACATGCTCATACTTTTCAGTTGGCCAACATTTCTAAAAAAAAAATTTGTATTGGTCTTATGTAATATTCAAATTTTCGGAGATACTGAATTTGGGATTTTCATTAGTTGTCAGTTTTAATCATCACAATTAAATGAAATAAACATTTGAAATATATCAGTCTGTGTGTAATGAATGAATATAATATCCAAGTTTCACTTTTTGAATGGAATTACTGAAATAAATCAACTTTTTGATGATATTCTAATTATATGACCAGCACCTGTATATACTTCAGATCACACTTACAAAAGGATTTTCCTGTTTTGAATACAAAAAAAAAAATTCTCACACTTCAGCTGTCTTGTACATTTCAATCTGACCTCAGCTGTTTTATTCATGGACCTGTATAATATTAGGGGACACAGGGCATGGTTGTAACATTTTGACATTTATGTCTGTATCTTGGAGCTCTTTTAGGCCAGTGTGTTCAAAATTATCTCTGCAACACAGACAGAAAATCCATGGTTAAGTTTCAAACATAGAGAGTAAAACGTTTCAATTCGGCCCATAGTCTGGGTTAGATGTAACATACGCTGGGTTGAAATGTAATATTATGTAATAAAGAATATTAAAAAAAAAAAAAACATATTGAAATCTTTTTATTCAACAATTAAATTATTTTTTAACATAATGTGTGTGTGTGTGTAGAACTCTGATGCTGAATGTGCAGTTTTTCTCCTTATGACTCTTATACGTGTAAGACTACAGTGCTGTGTAGAACTAAAATCTTATTTATGACTGCGAGCAGAAGATTGTTTGTTTAAACAAAGGAGAGATACTAAGTACAAAATGGCATTAGGCCTTGATGTTTTAAGGACTGTGTAAACACGGGAACTTTTTCTTTTTAAAAAGGCACCATCAGAAAAGAAGCAATCTGCATGGAAAACTGTGAAATACATCCAGTGGATACAATACACACTCACACATACTCACCACATTCTTTCAAAAGAGGGAGTTACATCCTGGCAGGCCAAAGCATGAAAGCTTGACATGTTAAACGAGCCTGAGATACAATGATGAGTTTTTAGTGGAAAGGACAAGTGAAAATGGAGACAGCAGTGTTTTCTCATAAGTGGACAGTTATGTAATATCATTGATACACTCACTTTTACAACAAACGTTTCGCAACAATTGCATGTTTCTTTTTGATTTTCACTGTGCTGACGGCTGACATGTCCAGCAAAAGCAAACTGATGCAAGAAAAATCATTTTGTGACTAAACAAGCCATCTAATTTATTTATTGTTGTACATTAATTAAATTTACACATATAGTGGTGAGTGTGACACAACTGCAATGGCTGTCAAGAGCTCAAAGCTGAACAACAAAAACATTTGACAGGGTGCTCTTGTGGCCTAGACATTGACCAAAGACGAGAGCTATTAATGAGCAGGTGCGAAGAAAAAAAAACAAAAGTGGTAAAAGAAATCTATGTCAGCTCCCCAAAGATGTCTTTAAAAACAAATCTTAAATAAAAGGGGATAGCAGACACAGCAAAAGGAAAACACAATGTAAATGAGGAGATACAACAATGAATGCTGGTGAATGGAGACGTGACAGACTGTGCAGAATACATGGAAACTTGCTCAATATATTGGATTATATTCATAGACATGTAACATGTAATTGCAATGTGGACACACTGTATTTGTATTCTCACAGTGAGTGCCGCAGCTGCTGGTGAAACGCAGGTTGTAGTAAATTGATTTTGATTTTAATCTTTCACACACTATATGGCCATATATAAGACATATTTTAATTTACATAATAAGTGTTAAAAAAGAAAGGTAAAAAAGACCAGAAAAACAGTACATGTTTAGTAGCTATACCTGAAGTAAATGGCAACAAACGGAAACACAATGTCTCTGTGTTCAAGATGGTTGATGCTTTTTAGGACATTTATGTTATCGATGGCCTTAGTTTGAATCAAGTTGTCACCAGTTGGATTCAAATTACTATATGCATCTTTCTGGTATCATTGTTGTGTCATTCAAAAACATTACCATTTGTGAAAAGAAAATGTAATCCTTCCTGATTTATAGTAAAACACTTGTATATGCAACGTATAAAACAAGACTCCCTTGAAAGGCTTATAAAGGAGACAAAGTATATCACAGTGAAAATGGCGACCATGGCAGTCTATTCAGTAAGACAAAAAAAATTTAAAATTTAAAATAAAAAGTGAAAATCACTGACCAGGAACGTTCTCTCAGTGTGGGAAACGCCAACACTGACTCACGTAGCAACACATTATCGGTACAATGGAAGGAATTGTGAGCAGGAGGAGAAAAGCACTGACCATCAAAATGAGAGATGAACTGTCTTTGGATATTCTTTCCAAAAAACTAAGTGATCAGTATTGTGATATAGTGTTTCTGTTGGATTTTACCTGAGTGGATTTTGTTCTGCTGCTTTCCTCATATGGCTCATGTATGCCCTCTCTGGGACAAAAAGTGAACATCAAATTTTCTCACAATTTGTCACCTCAAAATAGACATCAAGACGATCCTCAGACATGACACTGGAAAATGACGACCTTTTTTAATGTTTACTACAAAAAGATTTCGTGGACTAGACAGCTACTGGGTCGACAAGTGCTGGAGCAGCCACTGGTGCAGCTGGAGGAGATGCTTTGCCTTTGTAGCCCAGTGACAGGATGTGTTTCTGCAGGTGTGTGATCCACTGCTCTTGAACAGACAGAGGTCCATGAAAGACTTCTTGACAGAACCTGAACAGCAGGACAGAGAAGGGGAGTGTGTTCTCAGCTGCATTAACTGTGTTAGTGGGATATATTTCTATTTCTAGCAGGTTTCTTATTTTACCATTTCAATTCTTCTTCATTCTCCACCTAATTTTCGTGTTTACTCAGTACTTGAATCTGCTCACCTTGCTTTTCCCTTCAGTTCTCCCTTGTCACTACGCTACACCTCTAGTCTCTTACTGTGCTTTCAGACCAAAAGCGAAGCGAGCTTTCGTGGCGATAAGTTTACATACGAAGTCAATGCAAAGACACCTAGGGCCGCGATTTCCTGTCGGGCGGCACGAAGCGACGCAAAGGGGGCGGTGCCGGCGACGCGAAAGCAACGCGAAGGCCTTCACGTGAGTTGAAAATTTCCAACTCGAGCGAATTTTTCAGGTTCAAATCGCCTTCTTGTGTTGTGTGTGAACACTTGCAGCGAATGTACTCACGCGAGGAAAGCCTCGCAAAGGATTAAATTCGCGTTTGGTCTAAAAGCACAATTACAGCAAACATACCGGCTTGCCCCACCTATTTCTTATTCTCTCTCTCTGTCTCTATGTGTCTGCTCTGCTGACTTTCTCCACAAGCAGTATGTTTAATTAAGTCACCAAAAAGACACAGAACCGGTCTCTTACAGCAGGTGGTGCACCGCATGTGTAGGAGGCTTGTTAATGACACAGCCTATCGAAACAATCAAATCCAACGTGGTACCCAATAACATCTTCAGTGGTATTCACTTACTCACTTTCGCTTTACCTGGTCTGTGCTTTTAAAATATCCACCACGTCTTGTAACGTAATACCAGATAACATCTCTGTCTGCTAAATACTATTTTAGTATTTAGTAAGTCTATGTTTGGTATTATGCAACCTGGACAGATATAGATATACAGATTTTATATATATATGTATATATATATATATATATATATTAACTATGTACAGTTGTACAAAGTTAATGTGTTAAAATGAATAAAACTTAAATGACAAAAATACAGAACGACCCACCAGTGGTTATGAACACAAAGCAATTTGCTAATTTGAGAATGATTATCTGTCTTTCTTCTCTCATTTCCTGTCACATCTCTACCAACTACTACTTAATAATGTCAAAATGCCATAAACACATTGATTTTTGAATACATGACAACGAAAGCTGCTGAAAATGGTACTGTAGGTACAGTATGACTGGCATTACATACGTCCATTATGAAGGACATTAGTTGACTTGATTTGTTTGAGGTATTTTTATTCATTTTATTTTGTACACATAAACTGTAAAGGTCCGTTATTCGAAACCCTAATGAGTATCTATGTAAATTTATATTTTAGACTGACCTGCACTTGAGGGAGTAGATTTTGCCCACCAGTTTGACCAGTGGTGTTAGTGGGGGCTTCGGCAGCATAGCCGGGATGCTGCCTGACCGTGATGGTTGGTGGGAATTGGTGTCCTGATTATTTCCCCGTGCGGTCACTACATGTTTTGGTGGATGGAGCCCTGAAACCACACAGAAAGGTGTTAGAAAAACATGCAGAAAAAATCTTTATCAGTTTCAGCATCTCTGTATCTAGCTATTTTTCAGAGTCTTTCATTTCTCACCCCTTGGGGAGCGCACACCAGGGTCCCTGTGCGCTCCAATAGTCCGTGTGTGTCCTTGCGATTGTCTGGATGAGCCAGCAGTCACACCTGAGTGCTGCACCGAATGCCGCAGGCTGCTGCCAGGCACAGAGTCAGAGTCTGTAGACAGACATGGCGAAGCAGCATTTCTCTGGGAGTGAAAAAATTTACTGTAAATTAGAATTTACATCGCTTAATATATTGTTTGTGTGTATCCAAATGTGAATGGGACTTTTTTTGAACATATTTTTGAGCACAGCCCACCTTCTTGATGAAAAGGTCCCCCATACGATAGCGCTGGGTTATCGCTGCCACCTTTTCTGGGTCCTTCCGGATCAACTCACTGAGGAGTTCGATAGGTGAACTCGCTCCGTCTGCTTTCCATTCTATGATTCCTAGCTGTCGGAGGTGGGCCCGCGCATGACTGGCCAGGGCCTTGCGGTTTTCAAATTCAAACCCACAAAGCTCACATGATGTGTCTGACACAAAGAAGATGAGACATATTTTGACAAGCACAGGTATAGATACCAACGACAGATTAATCATGTATTACCAGTTTGGTGTTGTCCTGGAATACTTTTGTAATGTTATAACTGCGTGAAAACTGAGATTTGTGGTATTTTCCCATATGTTGAACCTGGTTAATCCTCCACTACCACAGTGAGTGGTTTCATCTCATCTAACAGAACGTTTTTTTAAAACCTCTCCACGTGTGCATGTGGATTTTAGTGTATGCAGGCAGGGGCAGCAGAGTGATGGCAAGACTGCTGTTTTCCTGTTGAGGTAAAAGTCAAATGCTTTCCTTACTCAAAGTACAGCACGTGTTGAGACATCATCGCACTGGGGGATGCGTCTCATAGAGAGATTATGTGGAAAAGAAGCTAATCTGTAAAATGAAATTTGAAGGATGAGAGTGATGCAATTCTGTTTTTCACCCTGTATCCTATCCTGCCTGCTGCACTCAGACCCATTTGTTCCTACTTAGATAGGTCACAAATATAAAGTGTGTTTTTTCATTTCCTTAAACACCTGGCCAGTGTAGTTTTTAACAAGAGTAACTACTGCATTTGCTGAGGATTATTTTCAGTTGCGGACTAACACACCTTTCGTGCTCTAGTGAGTATTGTATGTAGGACTGACTCGGTACCCATGTTCATCACAGTTAACAAACATGTCACAGAGTAGTGCAGCAGTGTGACTCACCGTGATTGTTAAACTCACATAAATAGCCAAACTGTTGCTTTACAGTGCTGTTAATCTCTTACCGGCGTGTGAGGCCCCACTCTTGCCAGACGGGGATTTCTCTTTCATGGAATAATCGAGAGGTGAGGTGCAGGAGTTGGTGGATGGGTCCCTTGACTGGAGGCTGTCCAGGGACCTTCTGGAGCCTTGAGGGGTCCACGTGGCTTTGCCTGATGACCCGCTGCGCACAGACTCTTTCTTGCCTTCTTCACCCTGCATCATGACCTCTTTGAGGAGATCAATCGGTGATGTTTTGATCGACCAGGTGAGGCCGAGCTGGCGCAGGTGGGCACGGGCGTGGCAAGACAGGGCTTTGCGTGTCTCAAACAGCTGGCCACAGTAATCGCAAAGGACTGTTGGCAGGGACGGGACATCTGTGGAGGACACTGAGAAATGTAGGAGTGAAAATAAGAGGATACATCTAACTTTGGTGTACATACACAAACCAATTTATAAACTCAAAGAATAAGGGATATATCATAGCTGCTGACAGCATGAATCAAAAATTTACTGAACTGCAGCATATAATAACATGATATGGTGACGAACAAATAGCATTTGTCAACAACTCTTGTAGATCAATGGCTCTCTGCTTTACCTGCATTGAGAGGCTTTGAAGCAGCAGCAGCGGGTGACTTCTGCTTGGGAGAATTGCTGTTAGTGCTTGATCCCTTGGGCTGAACAGACACCTCTACCTCCACAGGCTCAGGCTTGGGCTTCCTGTAAAGGGGGTCCACTGCAAGCCGAAAGCCTTTCTTAGCCTTTGGCGCCTTGTTAACAGGAATTTGAGGAGCCTGAGTGAGGGATGTGGAGAGAAATGAGGTTTTCGATTGGCTTGCAGGTGATGGCGCTGCAGATGAGCTGCCTGTACAGTTTGTTTTGAGGGGGTGTATGGCTTCTAGCATGCCACTGCTGACAAGTTCCCTAACAGTGTCAATTGCAGAGCTTTTCCCCAGCAGGTCAACCACTCCGATCTGACGCAGATGAGCGCGTGCGTGGCAGGCCAGGCCTTTACGATTCTCAAACTCCTCCCCGCACAGAATACAGGTACACTCCTCTGAGGTTTTAGACTGTTTGCTTGGAGGAGATGCCGGCGGAGAGGACAGACTGGAGGGACGTTTGGAAGAGGATCTAGGCGGACTGTTTGAGGTGAGCTCCTTGTGTTGTTCACTGCTGATAGGCTTGAGGTCTTCCTCCTCCATGATCTTGTAAAGAAGATCAATGGGGCTGCCCTTGATCTCACTGTCAGGGATTCCAATGTGGCGCAGATGGGCCCGAGCATGACTGGCCAGGCCTTTGCGTGTCTCGTACCAGCAGCCACACAGCTGGCAAACATGGACCTCATCGTTGGTGTCTGAAGAAAATGATGAGTGGAAGGTACCCAGTCACAAGGAGACAATGCCATCATGTTAACTTTACAAAAACAAAAATGCTACATTTATAACTACCTGGTATGAATGGTCATGTAATCATATAACGTACCTGGGAGTTGAAGCTCCCCTTACGACTTTACACATTTCTTTATGACATCTATTCAAAATTCAGTCATACCTAGGGTGATGGGGGCGTCAGTTTCAAGCGGCGCCCACAGTGGCTTTGTTGTGGTTTGGCGCTCTAAGGAAGATGAACTGCTGCCTTCACTTGCTCTAGATGCAACCAGCCTAAGACCAGAGGGGGATGATGGGAGGAGAGAGGTTGTTGCATCTTTCAGTCTGGCTGGAGATCCCTCGTGATCCTTCATTTGCGGAGTTGACATGACCCTACTCCCTTCTTTGAAGGAATCACTCCTGTCCTCTGGTACGGACGACGTCTTGGACTCCTGCTGGGATGATTTTTTGAGAGGGGTCAACCCAGGTACAGAAGAGTCTGCTTTGAAATCAGGCAGGGGGCCATCTCTCTCCTGGATGAGCTGGTAGAGGAGGTCAATGGGAGCTCCGCTGTTTTCTGATGTTATACCGAGCTGCCGTAGATGGAGGCGGGCATGGTTGGAGAGTCCTCGTCTTGTCTCAAAGTAAGTTCCACAGACCTCACACATGATTGGCTGTGGCGTTGCTGGGGCAAGTTGGGAGAACTTTAGTCAAGAAAAGGAACAAGCCTGAAGCTTGTTTTGTAATGACCTGACAAACACTAAAAATCCTGACTAATATTTGCCATTTGCTTCCAGCCTCCAACATTCACTTATGTCAAAATTAGATAATAATGTGAGTTTCAATTAACACAACTCAGTAGGGATGCACCAATCTGACTTTTTCTCTCCAGGTACAAATTCAAATAGCTCAACTCAGGTTATATGCTGATACCAATACCAGTTCTCTCGTTTTCCAAACTTTGAAATCTCCAGCACATGTGTATCACACAACGGATCTCAAAGAATCCCACGTAATCTGCAGGGTAACATGAGGTCAGAGTTTGCTGTGCCACTAAAAACTAAGGAGGTGGCCAGCCATGACTGAATGTACCCGAAAGAGGAAACACGTCTCTGCACGATATCTATTTGGTAGATCAGATTGCTGCATCCCTACATAAGAAGCCTAGAATAGTGATATGCACAACTAACTGCAAAGAAAAAAATAAGTATTTAAATAAGATATGAAACAAGGCATATCCTGGATTACGTTGTACTGAAAGAAATAATGAGACATTGTTCAAGAATCAAATCTACTGTGATGCCATCCATCTAATCATGGTGATAACTAATGAAATAAAACCAACAAGTAATGAGAGCATGAGCACATTTAGGATCTTTTAACAATGTAACATCAGAAATAATGTAATTATTGGTAACTATTATATAAGAGGCTCTCTTACCTTGTGAATCCATGGCTGCTGATACTGTTTATTTAGAGGGATGAGAAAGTTGATTTCCAGCGGATTCCGTGTGGAAGAGGATGTTTTAAATTTTCAATCCTGATTCAAATGATTTAATATTATCACTAGCGTGGAATACATTTTACAGATCAGATATTTTTAGTTGTTATAGATGCCGAAATGCAAAACAAACTTCCAGACAGCCAACCTTAAAATAACGTGACACGATTGCAAACTAGCGACAGTAAAATATCTACGTCTAAGTTATCTACCCATAGAAAAACATCCCTACTTCAGTTTGTACTGTTCGCATTTTAACAAAGTATCAATAGACTAATTATACTTTTGTAAGTGGCCGAAGCATCTTGTAAGTTAAAGATATAAAAGCTAACCCTGAGCTAATGATACCTCTGTTGCTAACGTTACCTTTGTTTTGCTAAGGAAGCAAGCTACCGTTAGCTGCATGCTAGCTCAAATTACATTTAATTTTAGCGGAACAGACAGTAGCTACACATCGTGCCACCTTGACTAGAAACCAAACGACATTTATAAATAATAGATAGATAATGGTTAATTTACCTCAAGCCAGAACAATCTGCCTCAGTGCACCAGTATCACTCCCACTGACAAGCTTAGCTGAAGTAATGGTACAAATATTCCCTGTGTCGTGTTTTTTCAAAATAAAAGTTCCGGGGCCGTGCCACCACAGCCTCAGGAGACGTGTGCTCTCTAGTGACCATCTACGTGTGATTATATTTTACAGTGAAAAAGAAAACTCACTATTTGATGTTACTGGTAAGCGAATCACAACAAAATCACAGAGCCGGAGGAGGGAGGGTAATATTCCGAGATAAAACTCAGAATTTAAGAGATTTATGAGAAGAAAAAAAAAACTTGGATATTCTCTGAGATAAGAGTAGAGTCTTTAACAGGCCAAGAGGAGAAGTAACAAATGGGGAATTTCAGCAAAATGAGTATTAACCAATGCCTCTTGGATAACAGAACTACACTGCAACCAGTCATGAGAACCCTACATGAATGTGAATGAATGAATGAAACTGCACCTGAAACTTTGTAGTGGAGAGCGGGTGAGTTCAGCCAGTTTTTACTTGAGGTGTCTTTAAAGTGAGGACATGACAGTAATGTCTCCAACTAAAATATGTACATATAATTTAGGATGTCTGTCTTCCATTTATAGAAGCATGCCATGATGGTTTTTGTTCTAAAATGCCACATCATTTTGGTGTAAAGTAAAATAGCTTGCTCAACTTCCCCCAGGTCTTTTGGCTCAAATTACTCCATCCCTGCCATTTTAACAAAATTGTGTCATTCAGCAGTTCAAGGGAAACATCATACTAACAGTATAGCCTCATATTATAACTTCATAAAGCAATAACACATGCGTAAGATATTCTCAAACCTTTAATTGTTCAGACACAAGAATCAGGACTCCTTGAGCATAAAAAAAATCACTTTGAATGGCAAAATACAGTTTTTTTTTTAATCTTAAATGTGCTTATCACTTATTCCATGGGCCTCTCTTCATCACAGGGTGAGTAAAATGGATGACTCTTCAAAAATGTGTGGTCACATGACCAATTTTATCAAGACTTTTACTTAAATTAAAGTATACAGTACCACACAGTAGAAACATGCTAACAGAATTTTATATAAAGTATTAAAAAGTAAAAGTACTCTATTAGGCAGCACAAAATTGTACTTAATTACAGTATTTGAGTTTCTTACCAACACTTCATGGTGTATGGGGTTCACTGTCCCAATGTATGACAATATTAAAGACTGAAGTCATCCTGTCTGAGTCAAAGTGACACAATCTCATCTCAACTTTTACTTTGAAAGACGCTCTTTTCCTTTCCGGAGGCCACAGCTCTGGCCCTGCCTACTTCTTGCACGCAGCCGTCCCTTCTTTGAGTACTTTCTCCTCCTGCCAGTAGCAGATCTTTTCGCTGCAAACTTCTTCTCGGCTTCACATAAAGACAGGTGAGTAAAAAATAAGTATATGTTTGTTTGTGTGTGTGTTTTCTGTCTGAAGTTCACATTATGTGTGCACGGCTCGGCCAAAAGAAGCCCGGCACAGGGAGACAACAAAGAACCAGGTTTACTACATTAAGCTAATGTTACGCTAGCAATGCGGGTGAGTTGTTCCCCTCCTTAAGTATTTGGGCCTGTTTCTGGCTCTTTCTTTGTCCCTGTTTCTGCAGCTTGCAGGAGAGACTGCTCAGTGCCCCCTCGCTTTGTTCAACCTTTGCACCCACCAGCTCATTTGACAAACGACTTTAAGTGTAAAGCTTGGAGCTACACAGCTGAGCTTTGACCAAGTAATGTTAATGTCTGCTACTCGACGAACTTTAAGGGTTGTTGGCGTTAAACTGTTGAATTATGACAAGGAAAGACAAATGCGGGTTCTCCTTGTTTGTTGTACCACCAAAACTATGTTTATTTAAAAGAATAAACACCTAATGGCTGCTGTGAAGGCCTGGCTGGATCAACATTAAAATCAAATGCTGCGTTCAATGTAACTGCAGTGGTTAAAACTGCAACCATGTTTGTTTTTTTAATCTCATGCACATTTCTAATATAAAAACATATATATACCCAGTGAGTATCTTCTTGTGCTTTGTCACGGTTATGTAACCGTCCTAATAGGCTATTGTTCCCTGCTGGCTGAACATGACTTGCATGTGACCTTAAGTCGTTTTGCCTTACTGAGCAAGCTTTTGAGCAGTGCACAAACTATGAAAAAGCTGCAAAACCTGGGAACCAGGTTATTGGTGTTTTCCGTGTAAATATTGTATTTGTGCTCTTGCTCATGTTGCCTGAGGGTCATGTTGTTATCAAAGCTCCTCCCATCTGAGCTTATCTTTCTTATCTGCAAGTGTGTATGAGCATCAGGAACTTTCTGTTAACTATGTGTATCTCTATCTCTCCCTCAGTCATTTGCCACCAACATCATGTCCTCTGGAAATGCTAAGATTGGCCAGACTGCCCCAGACTTCAAAGCCACAGCTGTAGTGGACGGACAATTCAAGGAGATCAAGCTGTCAGAATACAGAGGTAACTGGTAATTTTCATTGGTTTTATACACCAAAAGTAATCGCGGTATTTGCGGTTTTAAAAAAATAATATATATATTTTAAAGTGGAGACCCATCAACTTTTGTTGGAGGGGGGCATATCTAATGTAGGTTGACTAGAATGAATACCTGCCTCATTTTCTTCCTTCTGTGCTGTTCAGGGAAGTATGTCATCTTCTTCTTCTACCCACTGGACTTCACCTTTGTGTGTCCGACTGAGATTATTGCTTTCAGCGACAGAGCAGAGGAGTTCCGCAATATCGGCTGCGAGGTTATCGGCTGCTCCGTAGACTCTCACTTCAGTCACTTGGCATGGTGAGAATTTCCTTACTGACTGTTTCAGTGGAGCCAACAGCTTTCAATAACATCCACTCAGCCTACTTGTGTCATAAGCAGAGAAGTTTTAACAAAATGTTTCTACTGTTTTAACAGATCTACATCAACAATGTGAATCTCTCAACAAATATCATACAAAACACTTGAACACTGTGGGACACGAAAACCCCACACAAGAAATCTATTAAATGAAAACTGTGGTTCAGACTTCACTTTCAGTATCAGATCTTTGAAATACTCAGCTGTCTGATATCTAATTGTCGGACCATGACTCTGTAGATATCAGATCACGGGCAGGTGAAGACATATGCCTATCCTGCGGGAGACCAGGGTTCAATTCCCACTGCGACACATGTGAGCAATGTGTCCCTGAGCAGGACACTTAATCCCTAGTTGCTCCAGGGGCGTGTGACCTCTGACATATATTGTAATTTGATTTGGATAAAAGCGTCAGCTAAATGAATTTAAAAAAGAAGAAATTACTCTTTACATTAAATGACAGAGATTGGGACATCCCTAGTTGGCAATTTCTAAGTAGTCCGCCATTAATGAGGGGTTTTGGCAGATCTGAAACAACCCCCACCCCAGTTTATCTCTCGTTACTGCTGCTTCTGCATATTCTTGATAAGTTCTGAGTCCTGATATACTGAGAAGAGGTAACGGTCTCTTAATTTTCAATTTGAATGGGATACTAAATTACCCAGCAGTGTATTGTTTTAGCATTTACATTTGACAGACTGTGTCTTACCTCAGTTGGAACATGCTCTCATGTCGTCATTGTAGGTTTTAAGGAGCACCTTCACTCATGTAATGAGTGTATTTTTTTTAAAAAACAGTTTAGATCTTTGCTGTCCAAAAGGCATTTTTGAAGCGTGAATTCAATTGTTTTGTCCACCACTGCCAGAAAGACGAATTGTTTTCTTGTGTTTAGGTAACATTGCGGGCTACTTTGTCCTCTGCTTATGATATCACTTTAGTTTTACAACCACACTTATCCATAAAGTACCACTACATGCACTGAATCTCGAAGGATTACATTTATTTTTTTTTAAATAACTTAAGTACAGTACATCAAAACAAGTCCTGTATGCACTCACAACACTAAATGTTTTTTTAAATTAGCTAATTATAATGTAATTTTTATCCTACAGGATCAACACACCAAGGAAGCAAGGAGGTCTGGGAAATATGAAAATCCCCCTTGTGGCAGACCTCACCAAGACAATCTCCAGAGACTACGGTGTGCTGAAGGAGGACGACGGCATCGCATACAGGTCAGACTGCTTGTCATTTAAATAGTAAGCACTGAAAGTGTTGAGAGACTAAAGGATGTAGATGTGACAACGTTATGCAATACTATAACCTTAATGTGTGCCTTTCAGGGGTCTGTTTGTGATCGACGACAAGGGCATCTTGAGGCAGATCACCATCAATGACTTGCCTGTGGGGCGCTCTGTGGATGAAACTCTGCGCCTGGTCCAGGCCTTCCAGCACACTGACAAACATGGAGAAGGTGAGTAAAATTGTTTGTGTTAAAGCTTTATTTATTTCAAAATCATGAATTTGTAACTAAATGCATTGGTCATGTTGGTGGCCTTACCACCTACTCCTCCTAGACATTTCATCAGTAACTGCTGATTACTTAAATGTAGTGTGCATGTGTGTGGTGTTTTTAACCTCATAGTTAAAAAAGTAAAACTTTTGTCAGATATTAAATTAGGAGTACTGCTCTTTCTTGTGATGTGTGCTTGACAAAACATGAATGAGCTAGAGCTGAGGAAATGGTGCCGGCATTACTTGGTGGTTAAAAAGTCATCTGCCTGAAACATTCAGTTCATGAGTGCTGGATTCCTCTTTCACCTTCACTGCTTTTGATACATACTTTTCTTGATCTCTGGCACATTTAATAGAAACACCCCCTATGTACAACCCCTAAAAAATAATTTATACGAGTTTCCCTTTAACTGACTCGAAGGGTTAGTTTTTGGACATAGCCTTGCATTATTACTTTACCCTTCCTGGAAATTCACACATGTACTTTGTCCTGCTGGATATGTGTCACGTATGCCTTGTAGTAAACTTTGTCCCTTCTCCCTCTCCACCCAGTGTGCCCTGCTGGCTGGAAACCTGGGAGCGACACCATCATCCCAGATGTTCAGAAGAGCAAAGACTTCTTCTCTAAGCAGTAAACGTGAAGACCTTCCAGCTGAATTTAGCACTTGCCTTCAGATAAGAGGTGTCCCTGTGAAGCAGTATATCATAGCGTCCAATGCTTTAAATCCAACAGCATTTCAGAATTTAAGATAAATCCTTGTTAAATTTTATCTTTGTACGTCCAGTGTACAAGTGGTGACCAACCTCATAGTCTCAAGCACTGAAAGTCAAGTTTTGCTCCCCTTTTATTTTTTTTATTTTTTTAGAAAAAGTATTGATACTTTTCGTTGCTGTCAATAATAATTTACTACCATCTCTATTAAAACAAGGGGAAAAATGTGACTAACCTGTGTTGTCTGATAACTGAAAGGGGACTGCTGTATGTGATATTGTCAGTTATTCCACATGTGACCTCTAGATGGAGCCATAAATCTTCCTGAATCTGTGATTGGTGTCTACTAGTTTGGTCTCTTGAAATCTTTGAAAATATTTTGCCAGCAGACAATTTTTGGAATGAGCTTGGCATATCAGTCCTGTGCCTGGCAGAGGATCTGAGCATGTTACAAGACCGTAAAATCTTTGTTAATATGGGAGTTATGACTCAGCACAGCAACCTAGCCTTGCCAAATGGCACTGCAGCTCATTGGGAAAGACTGGATTGTTGGATATGATTTAACAGACCTGCATGACTCTCCCAACTACAGATACGGGTCACTGTTTGAGGCAAAGAGTTAGCCACATGTATCTCATTATGTTTTACATCCTTTCCAGACTAATGACAATACCTTCTCCCCCCCAGTGAGTATGAAACATTGGATGGCACCAGTCCATGTCTTATTTACTGAAGTAAAAAATATAGTGGGATACACTCTTCAAACTGTACAGACAATCATGATTATTTTCAGGTAACTTGTTATGTATGGATCCTACGTGTCTCTATGCCATTTATTTCTGCCAGCTTTTGTAAAGCAGCAATTCTTGTAACTTTAAAACTGGCTCTCACATCAGTCTATTCTAAATGTTTCTCTGGAACTTTTTTCAACCCTGTTTCCTCAACTACTGTGTTCTCTCGACTTGTTTTGGGAAACTGAAAGCAAACGGGGAAACTCCCTTAACTCGAATAAACCACTCATTGACCAACCTCTTCATTTACACATACACATTGTGGTGTGAAGGTGGCGTCAAGGGGAGCTCGGCAGCAGCTCTGACGGGCAATGTAGGAGGGAGTTCCCGGAAACCTTTTCGTGATGTGACGTTTGCCAGCAAAACTGACTATATTTGGACTGACGTATGTACGTCAATACGGAAACAATCCTACGCTGGGACGTCTCCAACGTCAAGCAACTGCTGCTGTTAACTTAAACTGCTGACCAGAGAGATTGTTGACAACACTGTGGTTATGTTAACGAGAATCACTAACAATTCCTAAGAGGTGGCATTTGTAAGATAGGCTACATATAACCTCAAAAAGAAACAACACCACATATGTCTCGGGTTCATAATTTCATTTACTTAAATATATACTGTACAAGTAAAAACTCAGCAGGTTCAACCTGACAAACACAAATAAGTTACATAAGAATGAATGACAAATTGCAATTAAAGTTAAATGTAAACAGGCAAAGTCAGGACGACACTTTCAATAACTTGTTCAAAAATGCCCGAAGTGTTTTAGTCTAGGATTTCTTTGTAGGCTTTTTCTCTTTCAGCCAAAGAAACCATAATGGTCCGGTTCTCTCTCACAGACAATGTATAAAGACATTGTTCATCGTGTTGTCAGTGCAGTTCTTGTCCAGTGTTTTTAAAAGTGCATTGTTTCTTCAATAAGACTTGACTTTGGGCGCTAACATGAGCTGGCAGCCACTGCTCACGTGTGTCATGACTTTCTGTTTGAGTTGGGCCACCTGCTCTCGCAGTACAGAAGCCGTGTTTGACAGTCCGGCGTTGTCAGTTTTCAAAATTTTCACCTTGTCCTCCAGACGAGAGATGCGCTCCAGCTTGCGCTTCCGACACTTGGAAGCTGCGAGCCGGTTCCTCAGCCGCTTGCGCTCCGCTTTGATCCGCTCCTGGTTCTCCATATCGATGGGAGACATTGGCGGAGACCCACTGTCGCTGCTCTGCATGTCGGGGACTGTCTGAGGCTCCTCTTTCAACCCGCCGTACCGCTGCGAATGGATGCCCGCACCGGCCAGGGCGTGCTGGAAATGGTGAGATCCGTGCGCAACGGCCTGGGGATGCTGGTGATACTGGTGGTGCGGCAGGTAGCTGATAGTGGTGGAAGGATAGTTGGCTGCAGAAGACAGGCTGGCGTTCGTGCTGCAGCCGCCCAGGGTGGTGTACTCGAGCTCTGGCTGCATGGATGAGCCGAACACTGAAGCTGGAGTCGAGCAGGCAACCCCACCGGCGCTGATGGACACGTTTGGAGGAGCCATCTGATTCATCTTGTGTAGGTCGTCCAATGCTTTAACAAAACCGTCAGCAAAGCCCTCCTGCTCCTCTGTGATCCCGCGGTTGTAGAGGTAATGTGCAGGTGTCGGCGTTGTAGTGATCACCCCGTTGCTGTTCTGGATGATCAATCGCTCCAGTTCAGGAGAGGCGAGCTTCAGGGAGCCCACGTCCGCTGTCCCCGCGGAATAGAAATCACTGTCGGCGCGCAGGTGCTGTGACTTGAAGTTTGAGTTCCGATATGAGTCGGAGAAGTTCAAGTTCATATTCTGCTTTAGCAGCTTGTAGTCTGGCAGGGCTGCGCCTGGATGGCCATAAGCAGAGAGAAACGAGTCGTCATAAAAAGGCTGTTCCATTATTGTGGACATATTTCAAATTAGACAGTCAAATACAAGAGTGCGCTGCAAAGCTGCTGCTTGGACACCGAGGCTTCAGTGTCCCAATTGATTCAATCTCCGGCACAAAGTCCCGCTGTATTATTATACTGAAGATCAAATCTATCAAAAACAGAGCAAAACTTCCAAAATAGTGGAACTGTACTGTACCAAGTCGTCGATTTGTACCTTTAGTTGGATTCAAAGCGGAGTCCAGTGACTAATTCAGATGTTTTCAATCCACTCGTGAGTAGGAGTCTTTTCTGCTATGAATTTGGGCTCCACTTCTGTTTCCTCTTTAGTGACATGCGGCCGTCGCGCTCCGCTATATTTATATGGTCCGACTCCGCCAGCTCTCGAACCGGCGTGCTGATTGGTTGTTTCCTCTGTGGTCCCCGCCTCCGGGATGTCAGATAGACTCGATGACGTTGTTGCCAGTAACAAGGACTGTAAACAAGACGAGGCCTATTCGGCTTGTGGGAAGCTCAACCCAGGTAGGCTAAACACATAAAAGTGCACGTCCACACTCATTGTCATTTATTAACAGGTCGGTTTCAATGTGTCTCTCAGCTCAAATCCATCCAAAAACACGCTGAGCCTTTTCCAACCTTACCAGGACACTTACAACACTCCAGCAGCCACTTTGCCCTCCATCCTCAACAACAATCTCATCGGTTAAGGATAGCCTATATAGTCTGCTGCTGAGTCATGCGCTCCAAACTGATATCGCCTGGCCATATTTGGGTATCCTGGCGCACCAGTTCCTCCCTGTCAGGAGCGGGAAGCCTTTCCCATCCTGGCGCGCTTCCAGCTCTTCGACATGTGGGAGGCGGAGGAGGCGCACCGCTGCCCTCCTTCACCCTGCAGGCAGGGAGAGGATGGGTAGGTGGTGTAAACTCTTGGGCGTGATGTCTTCAAAAATGCATGAAGCATAAAGTGTGTCTGGCAGATGAAGACATATGCTCGGGGTATCAGATAGAAGTACCTATGTAGCCCATTCAACCAGCAAGGTTGAGATCGGATAGGCTTAATACTCAGTGATGGAAATATAGCCTATAATAGGACTAACTGCTGCAGTAGGCTACTTAATTCATATTGTCAGAATTAGCCTGAGTAGTTTTATCATTCAAATATAATATCCATCTCTGACTCCTGCCAGTAGGTATACGTTGCTATAGAAATAAAGAGAGTGTAAACAAATGATGGAGCCTTTAAAAACATGTCCCATGAGCTGAACACCTGTTTGATAGAAAGACGTCTTTGTCTTCTCTATATGGTAATGACCTCTGAATCACTTCCCAGAGGGCCATGCACCCACGCATGTTCATATCTTTTAGTTCGACTTTCCAGCTTTCTGCATTATAGGCTACCTATCCTCAGGTCACGTGTGTGCGTCTGTGGTGTTTTTTTTGTCATTATGGCAGCACCTCATGCATCAATGTTTCTTTTTTTAATCTAGCACTATTTTACAAATGTAGTAATTTGACTGGAGGATACAGTTCTTAATTTATCTGAAGAAAATCGCTTTATAAATGAAGTTAAATGAAGAGTTGAAAGTCATAATGTTTTGTATCATTGAACTGATGTTCAACTTATGCCCTCCTAGACCACTGAAGGTAAAGTATCAGACAATTGCACTGGGGTATAATAGTCTGATTTTAAGTATAGCATCTCCTGCGTTTTTAAACAACAGTCTTCTGCCAGTCCGCCTTAGAGCGCACACATGACAAGAAAGCTGAGCGAGGAAATTTGGCAGGTAATGAGGTAAGAACTGGATTTCTGAATTCAGTCTTAGTTTCTTCTATGTGGAGCAGTGTAAAAGATGACCGTGTTATTGTCTTTGGGTTTTAAAGGGTACTTCAGTGATGTAGTATTGCAATCCAAATGCCCACTTATATTAAACTCCTGATAAAACATTTTCACTTTCAAGCCAATGCTGAGACAACACTTATGACGTCATCTGGGTTATTTTCTCAGTTAGTTCCAGTTCACATGCTAAGCCATACTCCTCAAAATGAGTGAAATGAATGTGTTTGATGGGTACCTGGCCACTTTAAGTGGCAATACAAATTTAAACAATTTTAATTGCAAATTAATTTTTATTACAGGTTAAAGGGTAACTTCAGTATTTTTCCAGTAATTTCCCATGTGTTTATGTGTGACAACACTATGGAAAGGACACTTGTAAGAACAATCTGAGCATGTCAGTGACAAAACAACCACTTTTTTCAACTGCTTTGACAGGACGCAATTACCCGCAAGGATTATGTTGCAGTCCTGTTTCGCTGCTGCTGACTGCAGGGCACTCAGTCACTACTGGACCAATTTCAAAAAATGTTGTCACATAGACACAAAAACACCATGAAAAATACAGGTTAGCCTTTAAACTCTTGTTTTTAAATGGTGGATGGGGATTTCTATCATATAATTATCACATGCTTGAACTTTGAACCTTTGCCATCCCCTTTGCGCCTACATGAAATACACTGCTAAAAAAAAATAAAGGGAACACTAAAATAACATCCTAGATCTGAATGAATTAAATAATCTCATTAAATACTCCTTTCTTTACATAGTTGAATGTGCTGACAACAAAATCACACAAAAATTATCAATGGAAATCAAATTTATCAACCCATGGAGATCTGGATTTGGAGTCACACTCAAAATCAAAGTGGAAAACCACACTATAGGCCGATCCAACTTTGATGTAATGTCCTTAAAACAATTCAAAATGAGGCTCAGTAGTGTTTGTGGCCTCCACATGCCTGTATGACCTCCCTACAATGCCTGGGCATGCTCCTGATGAGGTGGCGGATGGTCTCCTGAGGGATCTCCTCCCAGACCTGGACAAAAGCATCCGCCAACTCGATGGAGTGAGACATGATGTCCCAGATGTGCTCAATTGGATTCAGGTCTGGGGAACGGGCGGGCCAGTCCATAGCATCAATGCCTTCCTCTTGCAGGAACTGCTGACACACTCCAGCTACATGAGGTCTAGCATTGTCTTGCATTAGGAGGAACCCAGGGCCAACCGCACCAGCATATGCTGTAAGCACAACCCCCACCTGTGGACGTCGGGCCCTCATACCACCCTTATGGAGTCTGTTTCTGACCGTTTGAGCAGACACATGCACATTTGTGGCCTGCTGGAGGTCATTTTGCAGGGCTCTGGCAGTGCTCCTCCTGCTCCTCCTTGCACAAAGGCGGAGGTAGCGGTCCTGCTGCTGGGTTGTTGCCCTCCTACGGCCTCCTCCACGTCTCCTGATGTACTGGCCTGTCTCCTGGTAGCGCCTCCATGCTCTGGACACTAAGCTGACAGACACAGCAAACCTTATTGCCACAGCTCGCATTGATGTGCCATCCTGGATGAGCTGCACTACCTGAGCCACTTGTGTGGGTTGTAGACTCCGTCTCATGCTACCACTAGAGTGGAAGCACCACCAGCATTCAAAAGTGACCAAAACATCAGCCAGGAAGCATAGGAACTGAGAAGAGGTCTGTAGTCACCACCTGCAGAACCACTCCTTTATTGGGGGTGTCTTGCTAATTGCCTATAATTTCCACCTGTTGTCTTTTCCATTTGCACAACAGCATGTGAAATTGATTGTCAATCAGTGTTGCTTCCTAAGTGGACAGTTTGATTTCACAGGAGTGTGATTGACTTGGAGTTGCATTGTGTTGTTTAAGTGTTCCCTTTATTTTTTTGAGCAGTGTAATACATCAGATGTAGTTGTTAAATTAGGCCTCACCGGACCTGCTGAATTTCTCTGTAAAACTGTAGGCATTGAGCAAGTTTTTTTTTTTTTTTAAACTATGTGAAGCAACACTTCCTCCGTTTGTGAGAGTCGAAGCTTGCAATTTGGCCAGCTGTTCTGCAGTGGTCAGTTTGAGCTGATCTCCTCCCACTGAAACAGTGGTCTGATGTGCAGGTCAGATCTCCTGCCAGTGAAACAGAGAAAGAGAAGTAGTTCTAGGGAAAAAGAGTGAAGTATCACTCAGTGGTCAGTTCCAGTTTCAGAGTGACCTCATCTACTCATTGAAAGTCACCATAGTCACTGCTCTGAGATACCACAAAACTGTGGAAACTGATAAATGTTTGCTTCAGATAAGATGATAATTAAAAATTTCGATGATGATTCTTATATTTTGTTTAATTTACATTTTCTCTGCCTCCTTTTTTGTTCCTTTTTTTGTTTGAGAATATCTTGCCTTAAGCCTGACTGAGTGTGGATGATACGGAAGACTTCTGTGGCTTATCGTTGCTAAATTTGCATGCATTAGAAACTCTGCTATGGAATATTTACATGTAACTTCCCCATTTGAGACCCTTAATTGGCTCTGATGCTCTGAACAATTTCTTGCTCACATGCACATGATTATATGGGGCTGTGCACCAAAATTCACAGACACACACTACAAACACCTCATACATGCAATTCTGTCACTCTTTTTGAGCACTGGTGTGATTCAGGTTGACAGATAGGGCAACAAAGAACAAAAGCAGCAGCAGAAATGTGAAGAAAAAAAACATGAAAGCAACAAAGAAGCAAATAGGCACAATCTGCCACAGCAGTACAAACGGCGCCTGTGGCTGAGCCATATAAAGACACTTTTCTGTTCTTTCAGGGCTGTTAGTACATCAATAGGGTACACATTGTGATGGAGAGAGATTGAGTGCATGTGAATTGTGGGAGGTAGATGTCCGCGATAGAATACATGAGAGGAAATAATTACATTTGTCACACTGTACCGTAGATGTGTGTCATTTATAAGAAAGTCTATAATGTCAACCACACACCTGTGCTCACTCAGTTATGAATCATGCTGCCAAGATATATATTTTGTACTCAGAATTCAAAGATTGGGAACTGGCCAAACTAGCTCTACGAGGTGATTTAACCACAGTGTGATTTGAATTGCTAAGTACTTATCTAAGTCAGGATGAGTTATTAGTAGTAATAACTTCACTCACTTCACATAGGCCTACAAAACTTTTGTCAGAAAAGGACAAAAGTGAATAATGCCTGGAAGCTGCTGATGTTCATTTGGCCTTCATCAAGACTTTAACTCCCTCCTTTTCTTCTTGCCTCCCACAACAACCTCCGCAGCTCATTCAGGCCCTAAAACACTGGCTAGCTTTATTAAATGAACCAGAAGTAACGCCTCTGCTGCTTCTTTGGCAAGGTCTTCCACCCTGGAAGCCCATTGACCTGGAAGCGGCCTGTAGGTGTGGTGAGTCAGGTACGGGTGTTCGTCAGGGCAAAAAGTTGGCTGTCCCCGCGAGGAGGGGACAGCTCACTCCCAAGACTGTTAGTCAGTCCTTAAAGAGTGTGTGGGTCACTTAAATTAATGCTAACAAGCAATTCCTCTTTCACCCCCCTCTCCTCCATAAACTGAACCACATCCCTGCACCAAAAGCCTTTTTCTTCTTCTTCCCCCTCATCGTTATTTGGCTGCCCGTGGGAAATTGAACCTCCTTGTGCATGTAATCGCTTTAATGAAGGCATGTTTAATCAGCATATTCTTCGTCTGTAGCTCCCAGATAGTGCCAAGGAGCCTTGTAGCGACGAGAGACCTTTAGCACAAGACAGGATGATTGCTGGGGCCAAATGAGTGTGGCAGGAAAAGACAGTCGGACCCAGCTGTCCCCCTGGGCTG